AAATCCATGTTTGCTTTTAGTGGCTTCAATGGCTTTGGCCAGTTCGGCCACAATCGTCAGCGAAGCGGAAACGCTTTTACAGGTGCAGTAAAGAAATGAGAGTGCGATGTTTTTTCTATGTTTTTTATGCTGCTATTTTGCTTTTATATTTTTATTTTCAGATATCTGTTTAAAAAAGTTAATGACCGAACAACAAAGTACTTCGCTTATAGCAGTCAGTTGGAGTTACGCTGCCTACGCCACAGAAAATAAGCTCGTGCTGCGTGGCTTTTTATCTAGTAAACCCAATACCACAATATGCGTACAAACTGCAGAGATCATTACACAATTGGCTGCTTGTGATAGATTCTGTCTGGTGCTATGTAAAAATGGTAAACTATTTAAAATTCGCCCTGAAATAGAAGCGAAACTGGAAGAGGTGAAGCTTGAAGTTGAAGTGCATTCGTTTACCCAAAAACGTTCGATTTTCGGCGAACCGAAGTCAACAGTAAATAAAGAAGAATGCTTTATCGTCACCCACATCGCGTGCGGCTCTAATATCACAGCGGCTGTTAGTGCGACAAATGCAGTCTATAGCGTGCCCAGCAAAATTCATCAATTTGCAAAGCACTTTCGCGTGCGACAATTGATATGTGGGTTCGAACATGCACTGCTGCTTAGCGCCAACGGTGATATCTATAGTTGGGGCAACGGATTGTATGAAATTTGTTTTGTTTAAAATTAAGCTTATAATTAAAAAATATAAATTGTTTTCTAGNAGGAATTAAAGTAGCTATCATTGAAATGTTCCAGTCTCGTACATACTTACTTTCTTTATTTACAGATAAGTTTTATTGCTGCTGGCGGCTGGCACAGTGCAGCCATTTCCGCTTTCGGCGATCTCTATACCTGGGGTTTCAATTCAAATGGCCAATTGGGTTTACGTCTGTTCAAAATAACCGCTGCGGGAAATATTAAACAGCCAACAGTATTTACGTTGCCACAAATTGTAGAAATACCAGAGTGTAAATGCATGCAGGCGAAAGATTCTACAATGTGTGATGAAATAACGCAGAATGAGGATGCTACTGGCGAATGCCTACCAGTGAGAGTTTATGCAGGTGCACGTCATACGCTTTTGCAAATGAAATGTGGCGCATTGTGTACGGCTGGCTGGAATGCACACGACCAATTAGGTATTGGACATAAAGTGGATTATTGTGATGAATTTAGAAAAATCGAAAGCTTCGAAGGTAAAGTTGCAGAAGGGAGCATTGTTTGCGGAGCGTGGTGTACTGTAATTGCTAAGAAAAGCTAACGATTAAATTAGTATAAGTAAAATGTAGGTACTTGTAAGCAGTGGAATCAATTAATTGGAACTACTAAGGTCAACTAAAGCTCAAGTTAATTGATCCGTAACAAGCTTGTTGTACTTGCGAATTTATAGAATGACTAATAGCGTTTCCACTTAATATGTGAACAAGTTGAATAATATTTGATTTCTGTGAAATTCAATTTTAGCCAATATACTACTAGATTTTTCCAATTTTTTAAAAACTTATGAAATAATTTGACAAAAACGTAACTTATGAGTAAGTACTAGGAAATTTAAAATATGTAGATATGTATATTGTATAAAACCATACATACCAATTCAGTAACTAAAAGATGTTCGAGTATGCTTTAAAGTTGTTCCCAGGATAAATTTGAATCTATTTTCTGCTAAAATTGAAATACATACCTAAGTTATTCACTTATGGGATTCATTAGGCAACATAAAGAAGCGTTTACAATG